CTGCCACCGCTTGGGTGTCACTGGGTGGGGAGCTGCCGCCTGCTCCACAAACTCACAGAAGCCCCAGGACAGGCAGGTCCCTGATGGACGCCACCCGGAGGGGAAGCTCGCCAGGGTCTGACCGCTGCTCTGAGCTGCTGCGCGGCTTGGCCCGGCCGCTTCCCCTCTCTGGGCTGCAGAGCCCCGACGGTAAGACGAGAAACAGAAGGTCTAAAGCCGATGTCCGGCCCGGCCAAGGCGGCTCCGTGGTTGAGCCTAGAACTATGAACCAGGAGGTCACGGTTCGATTCCCAGCTGGGGCAGGTGCCCTGGTTGCAGGCTCCACCCCGGATCATGCAGAAGGCAGCCGATCAATGATTCTCATCACTGATGTTTCTCTCTCTCCCTCTCCCTTCCTCTCTGAAGTCAATAAAGATGTATTTTTAATAAAAGAAGCTAAGGCTTTGTAAAGGGGCAGGGACTGGCCCAGGGAGAAGCAGAGCCAGGCCCTGGGGGACAGCAGGTGTGAGGGTGCGGGGATGGGTGGCTGCAGCTGGGAGTGAGGGGGGCTGTGGCGCCACTCAGAGCTGGAGTGGGTGCGTGAGCCCCCAGGGCCAGAAGCCTGGGCTTGTTCTGTTTTCAAGTGACTGAATCTCAGGGGGCAGAAACGCTTGGCTTCCAGGACCTCTCTGATGTGGCAAACACTGAAAGAAAGCAAGGGCTGGGGTGGGGGGTACCCCAACTGCCCTGACTTCTAAGGAAGAGACTCGTGGAAATTGGCTCAGGCCTCTCTGACCCTCGGAGAAACATTTCTGGGTCAAGAATTTCCAGCCCATAAACGCCCAGGTTTCAAATTCTCAGGAGGCCGGCGCGGGGCTGGGGTTTGCATAGCCTTTCACATGGCAGAGCTTCCTGCTCCGCGGCCTCCCTCCCGCCCAGGCTTCTGGGCCAGGGTTCAGGAAGCCGGTCTGATGGACTGAGACAGACAAACAGACCGAAGTCACGCAGCTCAGGGCCCTGGAATCAACTTGATCAAAGAGAGGAAACACTTTCTTTGCAAACATTTTTTGGGATGTCCACCCAGGGGGGCAGGCCACACTGGGGAACACTTTCCACACGCCCCCCCATCCCCCCGCAACCTGCATGGTGTCTCCCAAAGGACCCTGCCCCCTAATTCCTTTCTCCTGCGCTTTCCCCAAACAGTCAGCATCTGTGCAGTGGGCACTTGCTTATAAATCCAAGATCTTATTTATTTTTTTAAAATATATTTTATTGATTTTTTACAGAGAGGAAGGGAGAGGGATAGAGAGTTAGAAACATCGATGAGAGAGAAACATCGATCAGCTGCCTCCTGCACACCCCCTACTGGGGATGTGCCCGAAACCAAGGTACATGCCCTTGACCAGAATCGAACCTGGGACCCTTGAGTCCGCAGGCCGACGCTCTATCCACTGAGCCAAACCAGTCAGGGCCAAGACCTTATTTTTGCAGACCGTTTTTGGGCCTTAGCGGGTTATTATTTTAACACACAACACCCCCCCCCCCCAGTGTTCTCCCCATATTTGGGTGAAGCTGGAGCAGAGACCTTTTGCTTGTTTTTTCGTAGATCTGCCGAGCCTTGGAGAAAGGACAGCTCCCGGGCCTGCTCCTGCTCATGGGGCTTCGGGCTGAGCCGGCAGATCAGCTCTACGGCCTCTGATAAACTCAGGTTTACACACTATCGCTGGACGAGAAATGTCAGTCCATAAACTTGCTTGGAGGAACACCCCACTGTTTGCTCAAGAGTTTCTTATCTCGGGGCATTTTCTGTTCCCTGGAGATAGGATCTGATCTCCACTCCTGGCACGTCAGTGCTGACAGCCCTCCCCATTTCATAGGGGGGAAACTGAGGCCCAGAGAGAGGAACAGTGGGTTTCTGGCGGAGCTCAGAATCTCTTACTCCCAGCATTTAAAAAAATTAAATGTTTTTATTGATTTCAGAGAAGGAGGGAGAGGGAGAAAGAGATAGAAACATCAACGATGAGAGAATCATTGATCGGCCGCCTCCTGCACTCCCCCTACTGGGGATCGAGCCTGCAACTCAGGCCTGTGCCCGGACCCGGAATGGAAACATGACCTCCTGGTTCTCAGGTCAACGGTCAACCACCAAGCCATACCAGCCGGGCCAACATTTTTACTTAAAAATTTTTCAAAGCTGTAGAAACACTTGCAGAACAGCACAATGAATGCCCATATTCACCAACTGCTAACATTATGCTACATTCACTTTATTGCTTGCTCTCTCTCCCTCACTTCATATACAAGTGTGTGCCTATTTGTTTCGGATACTGTGACACTTCACCCATCAGACCCCGGCGTGTACCTCTTTCGTAACCACAACACCGGGGTCACGCCTGGGAAATTTAACATGGAATCAATACTGTCATCCAATACACATCCCCCAATTTGGATTTCTCCCATTGCCACCCTGACTACAATAGTGTTTGTGACAGGTGATTAGTTTTTACCCGAGGACTAGTCGAGGCCGCGGGGGGTAGCTGGTTCTGTCTCCGAGTCTCCTTCGGTCCCCAGTGTTTTCCCTTGTGGTTGCCTTTGTCGTCATGACACTGACATTGTCCACGCATCCAGGAGCTGGCTGGCAGGAAGTTTATTTCACGTTGATTCGATTCGGATTTCACTTCTGGGACAAGAGCCATGACCCCGGAAGCCCATGAGCTCAGCCCGTCGTCCGTCCCTTTATCGGTGATGTTAGGCTCATTTCATCACATTGGTGTCCCCAGATCCCCGCCAGCGTGTTCCCTAACATCCTTCCATCCTGGGTTTCACCAGCCTCCTGTGCCAGCGCCTCTGCCCAGCCCGTGACCCTTCCGGCTCTCCTGTCCTTCCTCGGCTCTTCTTGACCTTTCCCGAGCCAGTCCTGGGGTCACCCCGCTCCAAGGGGCCTGGTGCCTGTCCCTGGGGAATGGGATTTCGGATCCAAGAGTGAGCAGTGAGCTCATTCATCCAGGCCCTTCCATACAGAGCTTAGAATTCATTGTTATTTTTCTTAGCAACACTTCTAATTAAGAACACCTGGCCCCGCCGGCTGAGCATCATCCCATACGTCAAAGAGGCCACCTGTTTGATTGCTGGTCAGGGCACAGGTCCGGTTGCAGACTCCATCCCCAGTAGAGAGCGTGGAGCAGGCAGCCGATCGGTGTTTCTCTCTCATGGATGTTTCTATCTCTCTCTCCCTCTCTCTAAAAATCAATAAAAGCATAGTTAAAAAAACAAAAACGGAACACCATAGAGTCCCTCTCCCTCCTCCATTCCATTCTCCATCATCCGCAGTGAGTGAGGCCTGGGTCCCAAGTTCCTTCAGAACGGCTCCGCCTCCCCCGGCTCTGTGACAGTCCCCTTGTCCAGGGAGCATCTCCTCCGAGGACGTGCAGGCAGCCAAGCTCGGTCCAGTCCTCTCGGACGGTCTTTTTCTCCCGTGTTCCTGCACGTGACTGTCATCAACGCAATGCACGGGGTCACTGGTTTCTATGGGGCTCAGTTCACCTAAGAATGAAAGGGCCTTTCAAGGAGGGGCACACGCATTTGTTGAGATCGATCGGGATAGCTATTCAGGGTCATCGATTCGGGCAGGAACCCACCTCCTCTCTTATCGGGAGGCAGGCGATGGGCATGTACGCGACAGGGAAGGGGAGCCGTGGCATCCACAGGGGGAGGCGCTTCTGCTGTGCAGACGACATAGCTCAGCGCCTCGAGTTCTAGCCACTGTTTCATTTTCGTCCGGGAGCCACCGGTCCGGTGCTTAGTCGTAACGGCCGCCTCGTTATGACTTTGCAGATTCTTCGGGAAGCGAGGTTGCGTGGGCCCTGTCCGAAGGTTACTTTGCCCTGTTCCCACACTCCAGGGTGTGAGGTCTGACATGCGGGGCCGTTCCTCTGGGATGGGGCGCTGGCTCCGTTGGCAAGGGGCTCGCTTGTATTACTGTTCGCAGTTCCAGTGCTAGTCCTCCCCATCCCTGTAGATCTACTTTTAGTGCTTAAATGTAAAATGTCATCTTTAAGGTGCGCTCGGAGGGGGGCACGGGTCCTGGTGCTGGAAGGAGCCGCTAGTCCAGGCGGAGCTGTGTCACTATTTTCCGGTGCTCCCCCTGAGCGGGCCTCATTCTGTTCCATCTCATCTGAAGCGCCCGGTCTGGACAGCAGGACCCCTGCGTTCCACCAGCTGGGCCTTTCCAGGGCGTCCGCGTGTGGCCTTGACCTTGTGGGGAGCTGAAAGGGTCACGCCACCGACCTCCAGACCTGCACAGACCCAGAACTTCAAGGCTGCCATGATAGCACTTAAAAAATATTTTTTTTTAGAGAGAGAGAGAGAGAGAGAGAGGAAGGGAGAGGGAGAGAAACATGGATTTGTTGTCCCACTTATTTATGCATTCACTGGTTGAGTCTTGTATGTGCCCTGATTGGGGATCGAACCTGCAGCCTTGGCCTGCGGGGATGGGGATGGGGATGATGCTCTAACCACTGAGGGCCCGACCAGGGCCCATGGCAGCGCTTCCCCTGGTTAACCTGGTTCCTCTTCACAAGAGCCAGTGAGGGTCTGACACTTAGTAGGGTCTCTATGAACAGTTGGAGGAATTAGCGTCCCCATTTTACAGGATGGAAACTGCGGCTCAGAGAGGGGTGGCTTGCCTCCCCCCGTCCTCAGGTATCATTAGGCGAGAGACACGGTGAAAGCAGGCCCAGGCCTCTGCACTCAGTAGGCACTTTGGTAACAGCTCCCGCACAGACTGAGGCCTGATGCCTTCCCCTGGGCACCTTGCGGGCCGGGAGTCCGGGGCGGGGCGGGGCGGGGCGTATGTAAATAGTCCTCCAGGAGGCCGCGGATTGGCCGGAGCAGGCGGGGCGGGGCGTATGTAAATAGTCCTCCAGGAGGCCGCGGATTGGCCGGAGCAGGCGGGGGCGGGGCGGGGCGGGGCGCCGAGAGCTCAGGGCTGGCAGGTGTGCGGCGGGGAAGAGGCGCGGAGTTCGTCCGCTGGACCTGCCGCCCCGCTCCTTCGTGGCTCGTCCCGGGCGATGCCTTCGCTCGGGGCCTGGCTGGCCCTCGGCTGCCTGCGCTTGTGCCTGGGTAAGCGGTGATGAGAGGAGGGGGCCGAGCCCCGGGAGGGCGGGCAGCTGCGCCCTGGGGCGTGTCCTGCGCCCGGACCCTCCCGAGGAGTGGGGAGAGGGGCCAGGATGGACGGGGCGGTGGGGAGGGAACTGCATTTATTCACTGGGAACGGCGGGCGCCTGCTCCTCGGCGGGCCCGGGATTAACCATAGCCAACACTGATTTACAAGCTTCCTCTGCTGGGGCTCCCAGGGCCCAGGGGTGGGGGAGCCCTGTGGTGGGTGCCGCGGAAGACAGACAGGGAGTGGAGCTGTGGGGAGCAGAGAAGGCACTGGACTAGACTGGGGGGCTGCCTGGATGGAGGATGGAGGGATGCTCCGGGTGAAGGCGCAGCCCGGCGGCTCAGGAGGAGGGAGGTGGCATGGACATCCTGGGAACCTCTCCATTGTCCACCCGAGGGGCTGGAGCTCGGGGTGAAGAGTGTGCCTAGAGGTGAGGCTGGAGACCCCATGAAGCAAGGCCAGACCGTCCGGACCTCGCTGCCCCTCCAGAGGCGGGACTGCACTGAGGGCAGCGGGGCTAGGGCAGGGCCTGGCCGCAGAGGACAGGGTCAGATGGGCACACCAGGGGGCAGGGGATGGGGAGGGCTTGTTACCAGGGCTCAGGTGAAGGGGGGGGCCTCCACGACTGGGCTGCCGGGGAGGGGTGCTTAGGGGGCCAGTGGGGTTCTTGGCGACTGCAGGGCTGCGGAGGGAGAGAGGGGGCGGCGGTTCAGCTGGCCTGCCGGTGCCTGGCCAGGTGGCTGGGTGGGGTGTGTGTGTGTGTTAGGAGGACACAGAGGGTGCCTGCGGTGTGGACAGTTCTGCGGGGGTCAGGTCCTGTCCGCACTGCTTCCCCCAGGTGTGACCCTCCAGCCCCAGCTGGCCAGTGTGACCTTTGCCACCAACAACCCCACCCTGAGCACTGTGGCCCTGGAGAAACCGCTCTGCATGTTTGACAGCACAGAGGCCCTCAACGGCACCTATGAAATCTACCTCTACGTCCTGCTCGACTCGGGTGAGGGCCCTGCTCCCCTCCGGCCACGGCCACGGCCACCGCCACGCTGAACGGGTCTGACCTGTCCACGGGGAGGGAGGGGCAGGTGGAGGGGTGCTCCCTCCCGGTGAGGAAACCACCCCTGCACCTCATCAGCCTGCACTGTGTCTGCCTGAGCCAGCGCGGGGCTGGGCCCTGAGGGACACCCTGTGTGGGGGGAGTTATGACAGCACCGGCCGCCGAGCACCCACCGCCTCATGCAGGTGCCCGGCGCCCCGGAGAGCTGATATTTAGGGCCGCCCTTGAGCAGCAGGGTTTGAGCTGCACGGGTCCACTTAGATGCAGATTTTTTTCAGCAAATACTGTAACTGCGTTTTTTCTTACGACAGGTCCTTTCTCTTACTGTATTATAAGAATACAATCTGGAACCCATATACATACACAAGAAGTGTTAACTGACTGTTGATGCTATTGATAAGGCCTCCCTCCACAGAAGGCTGTTGGTTAAGTTTCGGGAGTCAAAAGTGATATGCAGATTCCCCCTGTGCCCCCACCCCCCACATCGTTCAGGGGTCACATGTATTAGGTTGCCCATCACAGAGCAAAGAACGAAGGCTCCGAGGGGCCGAGGGACTCACCGGGGTCTCCGGAGCGGACGGCGAACCCAGGCTCTGGTCCTCAGGCCCAGCTCTCCCCGAGGCGGCTCCAGATCGGTGTTTCCCAGGGAGCCTGCTGGCTCCGGTCCAGCCTTCCCCGGTCACAAAGAAACCCAGTGACCACCTCTTACATTTCTAGCAACCAGCCACTTACAGCACCTCACTCAGGTCATCGACTTCACTTTTCCTGCGAACACTGATTGGCCGCCTGCCTGGGCCCGAGCTGTGGGCTGGCGGGCATTTCTCTCCCAGTTCCCGGGCCTCATAACCAGCTGGTCAGGAGGAGACCGGGGGCCGGTCAGGTCTGGCTGCTCCCCCTGAACCTGTGACCCTCCTTTTCCCTTTCACACAAGGCAGAATCCAGGGCTCTCGGCAAGGAAGCGACAGTGGCTGTGGGGAAGCGACAGTGTCTGTCGGGGTGGGAGGCTTCCAGGCCTGTGCCAGGAGGGGGTGCATGAGAGCTGCACACAGGGCCGGCACCTCCATTGCACAGGGAGCTCTGAGGGTGGGGCCTGAGCCTGTGCGTGCCTGCGACCCAGGGCCCAGCACAGCGCTGGCTCAGAGGGTGCTCGGGAGGCGTTTGATGAATGACTGAGTGACTGAGCTGGGGTGGCCGGGACCTCACTCCGGCACCACCCCCACAGCCAGCTCCAGGAACGCCTCCGTGCAGGACGGCGCCAACACCCCGCTCAGCTCCACGTTCCAGCAGACGGCAGGAGGGAGGACGGGCCCCTACAAGGCCGCGGTCTTTGAGCTGACCCCCTGCAGCGACCTGCCCAGCTTGGACGCCGTGGGGGATGTGGCCCGGGCCTCGGAGATCCTGAATGCATACCTGATCAGGGTGGGCGACAATGCGGCCTGCCTGTCGGACCCTAACTTCCAGGGCCTCTGCAACCCGCCCCTGTCGGCGGCCACGGAATACAGGTGGGTGTGGGCACCTGCGTGAGCCAGTAGTTGTGTCCCAGCCCCGCCTGACTCGGGAAGACCCCGAGCTGGTGAAGTGTGAGAGGCCACATGTCTGAAGAGCCTACTATGTGCCAAGATGGTCTTGGGTCCCATAAAGGGCTTCCGGGGTGTGCGGCTGTGCACAGGGCCCCGTGCTCAGAAGGGCCCCCACTTGGCTTGAAATTCTCAATTTTACAACAAGGGTCCTGAGTTATGCACCTGGTCCCGGCCCATCACCCAGGTGGCAGTCACCCACGAAACCCCCTGCACTTGACGGGGAAGGACATTGTGGTCCAGAGCGGGAGGGAGCCACCTGGTGGAAAGCTGGAGCCCAGCATGACCTGGAGGCCTGGCTGAAGCTTCACCAGCTCCCAGCCCACCCTCTGCTTTTCCTGCCTCCCTCCGGCGCACCTGGGTGTGGCCACCCCACCACAGTGGGTCCCTCAGCCATGCCCACAGATGGGGGCTCAGCCCCGACCCATGGCCAGGGGGCTTGCCTGGTGCCAAAGCCTCTCTTGTTACCATGGAGATGCCTAGGTTGGGGTCTCCATACCTCCCAGGCTGCACGTGGGGGCCAGGCCATCACTCACCTGCCATCCTCTCCCCTCCCTTCCTTTGGCCCCAGTCACCAGGCAGGACAGGAGCCCTGTCTCCTCTGCCCCTCTCAGCCCTCCCTCCCTGCTGACCTGGACCTCTCCCTCCTCCTGGATCGCAGAGCTCACCACCTGGGCGCACATCTGTGTCCCAGCCTCTTCCAACCCTGGAGAAGTGGGGATGAGAGATTTTAAGAGTCTTATTTTTGCTTCTTTACATGTTGAGCTAGAGGCTGTCAATTTCTTAGTTCTCAGAACATCCATCATTTTAAACTGACCTTCAGTCGGCTATGGGCATTTTGTACTGTAGCTCCTGATCTTCCTTTAGGATTCTAATGCTGGGTGGGGCTTTCTTCATGTAAAATGTAGGCCTTATCCCAGAGCTGGGGGCGTGGGAATGGATATTATTATTCAAGCCCCGTTTGTGGGACCAACGGCCAGTCTGGGAGCAGTGGAACGCAAAAGTGCAAGGAGGCCAAGGGTCAACACTCATCAGATACACTACCCGCGTCATGTACGCCATAGAGAAGCAGAGGGGCTCCAGAGGGAGAGTCTGGAGGGGACCCCTGACGCCGAGGGCTGCCTGGAGGAGGTGACACCTGAGCTCAGGAAAGGGTCCCGGCAGTGATATGCAGTGAAAGTGCTGATGCAAAGCCCAGCACCACCCTGTGCCCAGAGCCCACCCGTGGCCGCCTGGATTGCCATCTAGAAGTCCCCGCTCTGTCCCCCCACTCCAGCCACCCTAATCTTTCCCACCTCCAGGTGGCCGGGCTCACAGGATGGATGGAAGTCATCCGAGCTCCGTCTCCTTTCAGGTTCAAGTACGTCCTCGTCAATATGTCCTCGGGCTCGGTGCAGGACCAGACCCTGTGGTCGGACCCCATCCGAACCAACCGGAGTGAGTGGTGCGAGTGGGCGGGGTGGGCGGGAGTGGATGGTGGTGTGTGGGGGAGGTTCCTCAAGGGAACCTGGGAAAGCAGACTGGGGCTGTCACTCTGAAAACGCTCCCAGACACAGGCAGGCCATGGGGTGATGAGGAAAATGCATTTTAAAACAACTGAGCCTTCCCCTGGACACTGTTTGGCACTGGCCAGAGCAGGGGGAGCCCTGGGCACCTGCTCCATCGCCCAGGGCCCGCTGCTTCGCCTTTAATAGTTTGTAATCTGCATCCCACCCACCTCACCCGGAGGCTGCAGGCCTGTGTAACTGAAAGTTATGCACAAAGACAGTTAAAAGAGGGAGAGCCCGGCCAGTGTGGCTGAGCGGTTGAGCATCAACCTATGAACCAGGAGGTCATGGTTCAATTCCCGGTCAGGGCACATGCCCAGGTTGTGGGTTCCATCCCCAGTAGTGGGTGTGCAGGAGGCAGCCGATCCATGATTCTCTCTCATCATTGATGTTTCTATCTCTCCCTCTCCTTTCCTTTCTGAAGTCAATAAAAAAATATATTTTTTTTAAAAAGGAGGAAGAGCCAAACCGGCTTGGCTCGGTGGATAGAGCGTCGACCTGCGGACTGAGAGGTCCCAGGTTCGATTCCAGTCAAGGGCATGTACCTTGGTTGCGGGCACATCCCCAGTGGGAGGTGTGCAGGAGGCGGCTGGTCGATGTTTCTCTCTCATCGATATTTCTAGCTCTCTATCCCTCTACCTTCCTCTCTGTAAAAAATCAATAAAATATTTAAAAAATATATATTAAAAAAAAAAAAAGGAGGAAGAGACCAGACACACTCAAGAGAAAGTTGGGAATTGGGATGTGGGGACAAGCACCTCAAGGCAGGGGGAGACAGTCCCGGAACTGGGTCCCCCTCGTCCCTGGGACCTGCTGCCACCAGGGCTGGGAAGACGCTGTGCATCCTGGGAGGGCTGAGGGTGCAGCGTCTGGGGAGTCATGGGCCTGTGTCCTGCTAGTCACCCCGTACTTGGCGATCGACACGTGGCCCGGCCGGCGGAGCGGCGGCATGATCGTCATCACGTCCATCCTGGGCTCCCTGCCCTTCTTCCTGCTCCTGGGCTTTGCCGGCGCCATCGTCCTGAGCCTCGTGTGAGTACCCACAGCTGGGGGCAGGACTCGGGGACATGCAGACACGCTCCCTGGGAGCGTCTTCTGAGGTGGGGGGAGCCCAGCAGGCAAGGGAGCCGCCTTCCCCCCTGGGCGGGGTGGGGCCTGGGAGTGGGGGGCTGAGTCCTGGGGCTCCCAAGGTCAGGGTCAGCCTGGTGGGAGGGGTTTGCGGGCAGATGCCAGGTCTGACACCTACAAATGCACAAGTTTGGGCACGTATCCTATCTCCGGGGCCTGAGGATCCCCTCCCGCAGAACGCAGATACTAATAGATATTACCCTCCCTGGGGTTGTGAAGGTCACGTGAGAGGTTCTGAAGATTATCATGTGAGATAATCCCTAGTCTTCAAGGAAGCGCCCAGGAGCTGAACAAGTAGTGGATTTTGTTGTCATTGTAATTCATCCAACTGCAGTCCAGGTGGGGAAACTGAGGCCGGAGGGAGAAGGGTGGCCCAAGGTCCCACAGACAGTCAACACAGGCGGGACCAGAGCCCAGTCTCCTGACTTCACTCCCAGCCCTGAGGTGTGTCTGTTTGGGTCAGACTCAGTCTCCAGGGGACCTGCAGCAGCCATCAGGGCTGCCTGGTGGCAGACAGGTGTGCACACAGCCCACTGTTCCTGGGAGGATTGAGCAGGGGGTGAATCAGGGCAGGAGCAGGTGCTGCGGGAACCGGAGGCGGGCAGGGCAGATCCTGCCTGTGTTGTAGGCAGGAAGGGCACCTGGTGTCTGACTATGGGGTCAGACCAGTTCTGGGTTCAGCAACTTCTGTACTCGGGCTCTGGCTAGGAACGAATTCAGAGCCAAGACCCAGACTGTAGGAGAACATCCCTCTATATAAAAGCCTAATATGCAAAGTGTCCCCTCGGGAGGTCGACCTTCGACTGGGAGACAGGGAGTTCACTTGCTCGCTATGATGTGTGCTGACCACCAGGGGGCAGCGTGGAACAATGAAAGGCCCCAGCTGGCAGCCAGCAGCCGGCAGCCGCTAGGGACCCTACCCATGCACGAATTTCGTGCACTGGGCCTCTAGTCCTGTATAATAAAGAGGTAATATGCAAATTGACTGTCACACACTCACACAAGATGGCCACCCCCATATGGTCACAAGATGGCTGGCAGGGGAGGGCAGTTAGGGGTGACCGGGCCGGCAGGGGAGGGCAGTTGGGGGCGACTGGGCTGGCAGGGGAGGGCAGTTGGGGGCGACTGGGCCGGCAGGGGAGCAGTTAGGCGTCAATCAGGCTGGGAGGGGAGTGGTTAGGGGGCAACCAGGCAGGCAGGCGAGCGGTTGGGAACCAGCAGTCCCAGATAGTGAGAGGGATGTCTGACTGCCCATTTAGGCCCGATCCTACCGGGGGTCTAGGTCCCCACTGATTGACTGGCCGGCACCCGGGCAGGGTCATTAGTCAGTGCAGCTGGTCCTGAGGCAGCCAGGGTGTCACTTGTCTGGTTTTGCTGCTTTTGCAGCTGAGGCCCAGACGTTATCTCTAGGGAGGAAAGGTCAGGTGGTCTAAACCACGTGACCCGTGATATGATTCGGGAGAAAAAGTCACCCTGGGGGTGAGGTCCCACCTTACATCCCTCCTTACAGTTGTCACCGGGGCTTTCCACCCTGGTGACCTTCTGTACCTGGCCCATCGTCCTTGCTCTGCTCACGTCTGTCTGGCTGCCCAGCACACCTGGAGCACCAGGCGGGGCTCCTGGAGGAGGAACAGCAGGAGCCCTCTCTCCTCAGGACAGGGGTGGGTGGAGGTCACAGGCAGCGTGCCGCTCAGAGCGAGGGAGCCCCGGGGCTGTGGAGGTCCAGAGGGTGCCTGTCCAGTGGGAGTGGGCAGCAGGCGGGACAGCTCCCTGGAGTAGGTGAAATAGTGGGCAGGTGGGAATCAGCCAGGCAGAAAAAGATGTGGGAGGGTCCGGGGTGGGGATGGGGCTGTGAACTTGAAAATCAAGTTGCCTTCTGACATTTAAATGAATAAAAACACAGCCCTAGCCGGTTTGGCTCAGTGCGTAGAGCGTCGGCCTGCGGACTGAAGGGTCCTGGGTTTGATTCCCGGTCAGGGTTGCAGGCTTGATCCCCAGTAAGGGGTGTGCAGGAGGCAGCTGACCAATGATTCTCTCTCATCGTTGATGTTTCTCTCTCTCCCTCTCTAAAATCAATAAAAATATATTTTAAAAAATCAGTTAATGAAAACACAAATAATAGATGAGATTAGCCTGGGAGCAGTCAGGACAGTGGTGATGCCCCTCCCTCCCTTGGGGCGACGCCCTAATCTGGCCCCAAGGCCCTGTTACGACTTTAGCCTGATTCTTCCCTTTGTCCTGCTATCATCTCTGGCTCCAGCTGCACAGAGCTTGTCACCTTTGCCCCAGACCCCCAGCCATTCCTATCATTGCCCGAAATGCCTTCCTGTACCCTCACTCTTCTCCTTTAGGGTCAGGTGAACTGCCGCCTCCTCCAGGAAGCCCCCTGTGGCTCCCACCCGGAGTTGTCCATTCTGTGTGGTCATTGCTGTGGTCTGTCTCCCTGTACAACCCTAGCTCTTTAGGGACAGGGGCAATGGCCTCCAGTGTCCAGCTCAAGATAAAGCCTGTAGGTTGTTCACTTAGTTCCAAAAGGGTGACCCTTTCCTTATCCCAGGACGTGGCCCACAGTGAGTGCTCAGGAAAGACTGGTCGACTGAACGAACACGTAAGACATAAGACGGCATCTGTGAAAGCCATGTCTCAGCAGGAAGGCCCCTGAGCAGCTCACGGGGTTCGGGCTTGCTCTGCTCCCCTAACCCTGGCTCTCTCCATCCTCTCCGTCAGGGACATGGGCGGTTCTGACGGGGAAATCACACACGACTCCCAGATCACACAGGAGGCCGCCCCCAAGTCCCTGGGCACCTTGGAGCCTTCGTACGCCGCTGTGAACCGGGGGCTGCAGCTGGACAGGGCCGAGGTGTACGGCGGCAAGCTCCCGGACTGAGCCCCGGCAGGTCCCGCACGGCGGCCTCAGGGCTCCGCGCAGCCGGGGTCACCCCTGGCCCCACCCATGGCGGAGCAGGGCCAGGGGTCCAACTGCAGGAGCAATTTTGATAAATTCTTCCCAAGAATTTGAGTTCAATAAATATTTACAGAAAGAGTGAGCCGTTCAATGAATGAATGCACATGTATTGAGCGCGTGGATTGTGTCTGTCGAGGGCGTGGCCGGGGGACTGATTTTCACTCAAAGCCAAGGTGGCGAGGGCGGAGTCGGGGCTGTGGGAACGTGGCCGTCCACCCTCGCCTGTGAGAGGAAAGCCAGCCCCTCCGTGATCGCCGTGAGGGCCCGTGAGCCGGGCTGTGTGCGCAGCGGTTGGATGTTGTTTGGGTTTGCTGGCTGCGAGGTACTGGAACCCTGGAACCGAAATGAGTCCTGGGTGCAGCCCTGCTGGTGACTCACCTGTTACCTCCGCAGTCATCGCTTTCTCTGGTCTCAGTTTCCTCATCTGTGAAATGGGCTGATGTAAACGGTTAACTTCAAGGCCATGCAAGCCTGGGCTCCTTCACAGCTTTCCGGTCCCAGTGGGAGGACAGCAGAGGCTGCGGGACATAGAGGAGGGTGTCAAGGTCACTCAGGGGTGAAGAGTCTCTCCAGTCCCGGGTCTCTGCTCAGATGATTCAATTCTGTCTTCTGAGCCAGGTAGCAGGCCCGCTTCCTGTCGTGGAAGAAGAGGTTTGTCAGAGCGGGGTGGTTAGAGCAGGAGCACAGCCCAGCAGGCTGACGGGTGCTCTGGGGGGGCACGTGGGGTGCTGCGGGGGCACACATGCACAAGAGGGACCCCCAAGCTGCAAAGGCAGGCAGCAGAGGCCGGGAGAAGGAGCCTAGGGGCTGGGAGGGGCCTGGAGAAGCCAAAGCAGTTGTGGGTCAGTCCGGGGGGTGGGAGCCACAGGAGCCCAAGGGAGCGAGTCCCTGGGCCCGGGAGCAGGAGGAAGGAGTGGTGGGTGCTGTGCCCAGACCACCTACTGGCTCCTCCAGACCGTCCTGTAGGCCCAGGAGGCTGGCCTGGGCACTGACACTCCCTTCCCATCCCAGCCCCCTCCCCAGGGCTCCCCAGCTCTCCCGAGAACCCGCAGCAGAGGGAGGCGGCGCTTCTCCAAGTCGGCCCTGGTTAAACACGCGTGCGAGCTTGCCGTCTGCCTTACAGCATGCCCGTGTTCGTTTTATTTTTTAAATGGAGGTGAGAGTCGCAGGACATAGAATTACCCATTTAAAATGAACAATGCGGTGGCATTTAGCACATTCTCAATGCTGTGTAGCCGCCATCGCTGTCCAGTTCCAAAACCGATTCCTCACTCCTAGCAGTTCCTCCCCCATCAATGGAACCCTGATGTCAGCTCTCATTATTTTTTAGCCTCATCTGAGGATGTTTTTTCTATTGGTTTTTAGAGAGAGTGGAAGGGAGGGGGGGAGAGAGAAACATTGATGTGAGAGAGACACTTGGATTCTTTGCCTCCCACATTCGCCCTGGGGCTGGGGACTGAAACCCACTTACGCGCCCTTGATCAGGAGTTGAACCTGGGACCCTTCGGTCGGGCCAGTGCTCTAACCATGGAGCACACGGACCAGGCTCACCCCTCATTATTGTTCCTCCTGGATCACAGCGCCCTCACCCTGCTCTCAGCTGTAATTGTCTAAAGCAGTCTCTAGACCAGAGGTTCCCACTGGGGCACACACCCACAGGGGGGGCAGTTTGATTTTTAAGGGGGCAATTCGAGAATGATTTTTTTGCATTTCTTATGGTTCTAGGGGCCTCATATACAGCATATAAATACATATCGTGATATATTTATGCATTTCAGTTCTCTATTATATGTTTTGAAACTTTATTTGCTATTTTTTCACATCACTTTATATTATTATTTTTTAACAATTTCTTATTTTTTAAAAACAATTTCTTAGTGAAATGCCCTTTCGTTCTTCCATTTTTCTCTTTCATGGATCCATGTTCTTTGGAAGCTTGTTTAGACCAAGTGAATGGCCTTTCAGGCTTCCTCCACGTGCATAGGAGTCACTTTTTGAAGAATAAAATTCTAGATTGCAGGGGGCTGGGTGGGGGGGGCATCAGAATGTTAGAGATGCTTGGGTGGGGCGTGGCCAAAACAAGGCTGGAACCACTGGTCTAGACCAGTGGTCGGCAAACTCATTAGTCAACAGAGCCAAATATCAACAGTACAACGATTGAAATTTCTCTTGAGAGCCAAATTTTTTTTTAAAATGTATATTTTATTGATTTCAGAGAGGAATTAAGAGGGAAAGAGAGATAGAAACATCAATGATGAGAGAGAATCATTGACTGGCTGCCTCCTGCACGCCCCCCACTGGGGATCAAGCCCACAACTCAGGCATGCGCCCTTGACCGGAATCGAACCTGGGACCCTTCAGTCCACAGGCCGATGCTCTATCCACCAAGCCAAACCGGCTAGGGCTGAGAGCCAAATTTTTTAAACTTAAACTATATAGGTAGGTACATTGTTATTAACTTAATTAGGGTACTCCTAACCTGGCCTTTGCTAAAAACATCCTCAATCTGATTGAGGTATGTTCGCTGAGGTCGACCCCTTCCAACTCTCCCATCCACACTCGTCTTGTATACTTGTTTAGTCTATCTCCTTTCGTTCATCCTCTCTATATGTCCAGACCATCTCAGCATACCTTTCTCAATCCTCGACACTACATCTTCTTTCACTCCACAACGTTCCCTAAAATTAATAAACTTTACTTAAAGTTTTAAGTCTTAGTTAAACTATAGGTATGTTGAGTAAAACTTGATATCATACTTAATAACGATATTATTTATTGATAAAATTAAATTCCTTACAATTTACCTTACAATATCCATAAAATTAAATCATGACCATGACTGACAAACACTAATGTGAACAATGGCCTTGCGTCTCCTTGGAAAGTTTGGGTAAGTCAGGTTTGTAGGTTGTTGCCCGCACGTGGTATTTTGTGGAAGAGCCACAGTCAAGGGGCCAAAGAGCCGCATGTGGCTCGAGAGCCGCGGTTTGCCGACCACTGGTCTAGACTGACTGGAGGGCAGGTTAAAGGTCGGATCCTTTTCTGTGATACCTCCCCGGGCCCCCAGCTCAGCACGTGCCATCAGAGGGCGATGGCTCGCAGGGCGGTGTTGGAAGCCCTGGGCTGGCGAGACCCCTCAGGGGTGCGATACAGAGAAGGCAGAGCACAGAGCCCTTCAGCCTCCGGGCCTGGCAATGGGGACCCGAAGGCAGGAAGAACTGACGGGGAAGCCCGCCCTCACCCCCAGCTCCCTGGGTGACCCCCTGACTCTGGCATCTGTTGGCTTCCTCAGTCCCAGAACCTCGCTGCCACCGAGACTCAGTGTCCCCTAACCCACCCCCGCCGTCTGCAGACCAGCAGCCCCCCCTCCAACCGCTGGTCCCTGTCACTGTGGCTGTCCCCAGTGGGCGACTGGATCCTGGGCAGGGGTGGGGTGGTGAGGGTCGGGGGGGTGGAGGGGGTGGGGGCGCGGGGGGAGGAAGTGGGGGCAAAAGCCTTTGCCGACTTCCAAGCAGCTGTATCCAGTCTTCGCAGAAGGAGCCAAGCCTGCGGGCGGGCGGGTGGAGGTGCTGGGCTGGCTGCTGAAGCATCTAATTCTAACCGCCCACAGGAGCCATTTCTGCAGCTCCTGCCCAGGTGCCCAGGGACGCCTCCTCGCCGTGGCTGAGAGGGCGGCCCTTCGGAGCTGGGCTCTCCCCCGCCGCCCAGATGCCGCTTCCCTTCCTCCCACCAGGCAGCCGCCGCGGCTCATCTCCGTCGCCAGGCTGTGTGACTTGGGGCAAGGAGGTCGCCTCTCTGGGCTCCCCTGGCCTCATGGGGCCGCTTCCCGTTTGGGGTTATTCCAAATAGAGGCGCCGTGAACAGCCCAACCCCCTGTGGGCACTGCTTTCACTTCTCTTTTAAAAAAAATTTTTAAAAAAATATATATTTTATTGATTTTTTACAGAGAGGAAGGGAGAGAGATAGAGAGTTAGAAACATCGATCAGCTGCTTCCTGCACACATCCTACTGGGGATGTGCCCGCAACCCAGGTACATGCTCTTGACCGGAATCGAACCTGGGACCCTTCAGTCCGCAGGCCGACGCTCTATCCACTGAGCCAAACCGGTTTCGGCTAAAAAGAAAATGTTTTTATTGATTTTTTAGAGAGGAAGGAAGAGGGATAGAGATAGCAACATCGATGAAAGAGAAGCATCATCGATCGGCTGCCTCCTGCACACCCCCTACTGGGGATGGAGCCCACAACCCGGGCATGTGCCCTGACGAGGAATGGAACCAGTGGCCTTGGTTCATGGGTCAACGCCCAACCACTGAGCCACACCAGCCCAGCTGCTTTCACTTCTCCTGGGTAAATACCAGGTGTGGGATGACTTGGTTGTCCCCGACCAGGGCCCGGGCCAGGGAGGAGCCTGCAATCGAGGTACGTGCCCTTGACCGAAATCGAACCCGGGACCCTTCGGTCCGCAAGCCGACGCTCTATCCACTGAGCCGAACGGGCCAAGGCCTGACTCATTTTTTAAAAAAACTGCCAAATTGTTTCCCAACGTGATTGTATCATTAAAAACAACAACTTGGTTTTGAAGTGATCATCGATTCCAAGGAAATTGCAGAAAATGTGCAGGAGGGGTGGTGTAGCCTTCACCCAGCCTCCTTACCGTTAGCAGCTCATATGGCCAGAGCTTCATTGCAGCACAGCCAGGAGCCAGCGCCCGTCCGCCCACAGCCTCGTCCTAGTTCCCTGTTTCCAAACACACCGTGTGTTTCTGTGCAATCTTCTCGCCGCTGTAGGTTGTGTCACCACCACCGTCAAGTACAGCACTGGCCCTTCACCACAGGCTCGTTGCCACACCAACCCCTTCCCCCCACCCCTCTCCTCCCACCCCTCCTTCTTGGCCATCACTGATCTGCTCTCCATCTCTATA